CGAACCACCCTATTCAGTGGTCTATGAAACACCAGACGGCATTAAATACATTGATTGATTGCGTCACCTCACCCCCGATTCTAGCGTACCCTGATTACAGTTCACCATACGTTGTTCATACAGATGCTTCCCAGAACGGGCTGGCAGCCGTGTTATATCAGCGTCAAGGCGGAACGCTCCGTGTCATCGCATATGCATCACGCACATTAACGCAAGCTGAGAAGAACTACCATTTACATGCGGGGAAGTTAGAGTTTCTTGCTCTAAAGAGGGCGGTCAGCGAACAATTCAGGGATTATTTATATTATGCACCATCCTTCGTAGTCTATACTGATAATAACACACTGACTTATATTCTCTCGACAGCGAAACTTAATGCGACCGGTTTGCGTTGGGTTGGGGAACTTGCAGACTTTAATTTTGAGATCAAATATAGACCGGGAAAAGTAAACATCGACGCGGATAGCCTGTCCAGAAATCCTGCGGACTTCGAAAGATTCATGGACTCTTGTTCTGAAACGGTTTCAAATCCGGAGTTCAACGCAGCAGTCTCTCAGATTTCTTCCGTCAGCAATGGTGATTCCCCCTGGATTACATCAGTTACGGATCAGCCGGAGGCCCTCGAGACAGACAAGCTATTCCTGCCAGAGCGCGAAAACACCATCCAGTTCAAACAGACAGAGATCGCTAGAGCTCAACGAGAAGACCCAACGACAAGTCGGGTTCAGTGGTATGTACGGGCGCGAAAGAAACCAACTTTCGAAGAAAGGCAACAAGAAACCCCTGAACTAAAAAAATACCTCCGGGAGTGGCATAATCTCATGATCGACAGGAAGACCGGTATTTTGTATCGAGGTCAGCAACTTGTACTACCAACGAAGTATAGATCTTTAATATTTCGAGAACTACACGAGAAAATGAGACATCTTGGTCCAGAACGCGTTTTCAACCTCGCGAGGGAACGGTTCTATTGGCCTGGAATGAAGAACGATATTGAACATTTTATCACGCACGTATGTAGTTATGTTAAACAGAGAAAACCCACCTTTACCAACAGAGAACCATTTCACTCCATTTCTACGTCCGCACCATTCGAACTGGTATCAATTGATTTTGTCCATTTAGAGCGAAGTTCGGGAGGGTTCGAGTATATCTTGGTCATGGTCGACCACTTTACCAGATATACACAAGCGGATACAACACGGAACAAGACCGCGACCACGGCAGCCGATAAAATTTACAATGATTTCATTCCGCGCTTCGGCTTCCCGTCTAGAATACATCACGACCAGGGAGGGGAGTTTGAAAATAAACTGTTTCGTAGACTAGAGCAGCTCTTGGGAATCGCACATTCAAGAACGACACCCTATCATCCACAGGGAAATGGCCAGGTGGAGCGGATGAACAGGACTTTGCTGCACATGTTGCGAACGTTACCCAAAGTGTACAAGTCTAATTGGAGGGATCATGTGAACAAACTAATACACGCGTATAATTGTACGAAGCATGAATCTACTGGCTTCTCCCCGTTGTTGCTACTATTCGGTAGACCGCCTCGTCTTCCCATTGATTTGATGTTTAACTTAACAAGAAAAGAATAATCAATCGGTTATCCAGCTTATGCCAATAAATGGAAGAAAGCAATGCAAGAAGCTTACATGTTAGCATCCAAGTCTGCGGAGAAAGCGGCGTCTAAGGGAAGGAAACAGAGCGATAAACGCGTAAGGACGACTGTCCTCTGACCTGGTGACCGAGTGCTTGTTCGGAACCTATCACCACGCGGAGGTCCAGGCAAAATAAGAGCGTTCTGGGAAGAGGAGATTCACGTAGTGGTATCGAGGAAGAATCCCGAGAGTCCTGTTTATGATATCAAACCCGAATCAGGAAAGGGAAAGATACGCACGTTGCACAGACATTTACTGTTACCTTGTGATTATTTACCGACAGCAACGCCAGAGACGAAGCGGGTAGAGAAAGTAAAAGAACAGACCCCGATTATACACATCCCAGAGGATTCAGAATCCGATTCGGAGGGGGAGGAGGGACTGTCGCTGCCTCCAAACGAAATGGACGAACTTGAACAGTTAAGCTTACGACCAGAGTCGGCAAACGACGCGACAGTGGACCCAAGTACAAATGGCGATATTAACCAGAGTAGGGAAGTACATGGTACGCGAACAGGCTGAACATACAAGTAGAAGAAACGATGGAAACGCCGGGTGATGTCGAAGAAACACCGCCGCAACCGGTTCGTCCACAAAGGCAAAGACAGCCACCGTTACGTTTTGGATACAATGCACCTGGTTGTCCTACGGGTGAATTTCCTTTCATTTGGCAAGACCCTAACATGGGATTAGTTCAAATACGAGATCCGTGGTTTGGCCCACATTGGATTGGACCGATTCAACCTCCGATGATATCAATATCGTGGATGAGTCCAATACAGGATCCCATGTTCCACGCACAAGTTATGAACCCTATGATATCACCACCGCCTTTTGGTTACTACCCAACGTATTAGAAGACAAAGAGGAACAAGTAAACATATTAAACATTCACATTTATATAAAAAAAAACAACATTTAATTCACTTAGGATTTCACTGTCCTTGATACAAATTAGCTAAAATAAGGTAACTTAGTTAGGATCTATAGTGTCTTGAAGAGAGATTACGTTTCGGTTAGTGAGCTGGCCCGATCAACCAACTCGAGTGTCTGAATTGTGAAGGATACTTTTAACTTGGAACAGTTGCGTTAAGAAGATACGGATCTAAAATGTCAGAGACGACATTCAAGAAGGAGGGGAGAGTGTAGCCGTGTGAGAAAACAATTAAGAAACAGCTTTAAAGACTGGAACTTAGTCAGCGGTTATGTTATAGAAACGGGATCAGCAAGATAGTCTAGCGCTTAGTCAGCGGTTATGTTGTAGAAACGGGCTCAGCAATATAGTCTAGCGCTTTTTAAAACGATAAAATAACGAACACATGTTTTGTAAAAGTTTTATTAAAAATACTCCTTTAAAAGTGAATAAAATGTAAAACAAAAAGAACTCGGAGTAACAGTTATTATTACGAATATATACTGTATATATATATATACTGTATATATATATATACTGTATATATATATATACTGTATATATATATATATACTGTATATATATATATATACAGTATATATATATATATACAGTATATATATATATATATACAGTATATATATATATATATACAGTATATATATATATATATACAGTATATATATATA